GTCAGGTGAAGTGAGAAAGAAGCACGCAGAACACAGAATTTATGAATAAAGGACCAAAGGGTTACACCACTGATGAGGATATATTAAACAAACCTAAGATACTGTTAAATCTTTAATCAGTTAAAAGGTTTTAATTGATTAATATGTATATGTAAATCCACAAATTTCTTTCAAGTCACTGTCCTGAGTGAACAAAAGGTTTTATCAGTGTAAGGAAGAGGTGACATTTTAGGTTAGACAGTACACGTTAGGTTGAGGCCTTGTTTAAAATCTGTTTCTTTTGTTTTGGAGTCAGACTATGCACTCACGCATAAATATATAGACACACAGGCACACACACCCCTATACACTCTCACACACACACTCTCAAGCACAGAGACGCGCGCACACTCTCTCTGGCTCTCCCTTTCTCTCTCACACACTCACACACACACACTCACACTCACACTCACACTCTCTCTCTCCCCCTCCCTCTCTCTCCCACACACACATACACTACTTCACACACGCTGTTTCTGTCTCCTATACACACCCTCTCTTCCTCCCCCCCAACACACACTCATCTTCCACCCCCCCTACACACACACTCTCATACACACACCCACACACACACTTTCTCCCTGGCCCCCCTTTCTCTCACGTTCACACAAACACACACACACAAACACTCTCTCTCTCACACTCCTCCCACCACCACCACCCCCCCCCCCCCCCCCCCCCACCCCCCCTCCCCCCCTCCCCCCGCCCCCCCCTCTCTCTCACTCTCCCACACACACACACAAGCCCCACTTTCTCTCACTCTCTCACACACACCATACAAACACACTCTGTCTCACTCTGTCCCCACATCGCACGCGAACACACTTTCTCTCCCCCACCGTGTCTCTCTCGCACACACACACACCACACAAACACTCTCTGTCTCACTCTCTGCCTCCCCCACACGCACTCACTCACTCTCCTCACTCTCTCTGTCTCTGACACACACACTCACCTCGCTTGCTCACTCTCACTCACACTCACACTTTCCCACACACCCCATTCTATGGGGTGAATTTGCATTTGTAGATACAATCTATTTTGTTCAAAAAGCACACAGTCAGTCATTTTATAAATTCCTACTTTCGAAATTAAACCAGTCTGACTCCAAACCAAAACGTAAACAGATTTTAAACAATGCCTCGCACCTCACATGCACTGTCTGACCTAAAATGTCACCTCTTCTTTACACTGATAAAACCTTTAGTTCTCTCAAGACAGTGACTTGAATGAAATACAGGGATTTACATATACATATTAATCAATTAAAACCTTCTAACTGATTAAAGACTTAACAGCATCTTAAGTTTGTTTAATACATCCTCATCAGTTGCGTGACCCTTTGATCTTTTATTAGAAATTCTGTATTATGTGCTTCTTTCTCACTTCACCTGACGAAGGGACTACGCTCCAAAAGCTTGTATTTTCAAATAAACCTGTTGGATTATAACCTGATGTCATGTGATTTCTGACTTTAAGCAAAGCACACTTCATTTTTACACTACAGTTAAAATAGAAGGTAAAAATAAAAGAACTGGCTTAACTGTAACTATCGAAATGCGGAAGAAAATATACATATAAATATGTATATATAAACTAGTTCTAATTTACTCTTCCAAAATAGTAACGTCCCATAATAACACTCTTGGCAAAGGCAAATTCAGTGAAATAGATTGCCTTGCGTGCAATTCTAGCAGCAGGAAGAGAAGCCCAGCTTTTAGCTGTAATAGACAACGAAATGAGAGCTTCCACATCCAGCTTCAAGACTCCAGCAACTGCTGAAGGCTAAAACTAAAAACCCTGGATCTGTGGAAGCTTGACCTTACCATTCAAGCTGCTTCTATTGTTCCAACTTTTTAAAACCAAAACCCAAGTCCTCACAAGCTGTTTACTTTATTGGCTTTGAACACTTTACACCTCTGTCTCAACCTTTCTTCATTTAAAAAAAAAAGCCAGGACAGAATACACCTCTTGGTACCATAGCCGTAGTATTGTCACACTATCCTTATATTCCTTGGTTAACCGTGGTTGGTTTATCCCCATTTTGGAATTCTTCTTTCTCACTAGGATATACCTTTGTTGTAAACCATCACTACTTCCTAGAATACCACAATGAAGGACTCCTCCAGCAATGTCCTGGGGGTGAGACCTGCAAAACCATGAGTATTTTGTTTTAAGTTTCGTATGACCCCAACCAGTGGAGAGTTTTCCCTTTGATTTTCTTTGATTCCAGTTTTGTTGGAGCTACTTGATCCCATCCTCAGTCAAATGATGCTTTGATTTCAAGGATAGTCACTCTCACCACATCAATTTCAGGTCTTTGTCCATGTTTGGACCATTCTTCGTAATGACTTCAGGAGGCGAGTGACCCTGGCAAAACCTAAACTGACCATCAGTGGCCAAGTTATTCTTTTGCAAGTGCTGCTTGAAAGCAACGCTGATGACTCCTTCCAGTGATTTGCTGTTGATAGAGAGTAGACTGATAAGGTGGTAACTGGCCTGGGTAGATTTACTCTGCTTTTTGCGTGGAGGATCTGTACAGTTTTTCACATTGATGGGTCGGTGCCAGTGCCCTCGCTGTACTTAAACAGCTTGGGTAGGGGCATAGCTAGTTCTGGAGCACTTGTTTTTAGTATTATTTCCAGAACATTGTTAGGAATCATAGCCTTTGCAGTATCCAGTGCCTTCAGCCATTTCTTGATATCAGCTGGAATGAATCAAATTGATTGAAGAGTGGCACCTGTAATGCTAGGTGGTTTTCAGGAAAGGTCAAGATGAATCATCCACTTGGTACTTCTGGCTAAAGATGGATGCAAATGCTTCAACATTGTTTTTTCCATTTGCATGGATGCATTGGACTCCCCATCATTAAGGATAGGAATATTTGTGGAACCACTACCTCCTGTTTAACTGTTGACTACCATTCATGATTGGATGTGGCATAATTGCAGAGCTTAGATCTGGTCTGTTGCTTGTGGGATCACTTGGCCATTCTACTGCATGCTGCCTCTGCTGATTGGCATGCAAGTAGTCCACCAAACTTCATGTTGACTCCTCATTTGTAGATATGTCTGGTGCTGCTTTTGCTGTGCTGTCCTGCACTCTGGTGCTGCTTTTGCTGTGCTGTCCTGCCCGCTTCGTTGAACCAGGGTTGATCTCTGAGCATTGTGGTAATGGTAGAGTGAGTGATCCGTCAGGCCATGAGGTTGCAGATTATGGTTGAGTACAATTCTGCTGTTGCTAATGGTCCACAGTGTCTCATATATTGAGTTGCCAGATATGTTTAAACTCAGACCTATTTGGCATGGTGGTGGTGCCACACAATGGAGGGTAACCTCATTGTGAAGATGAAATTTGCAATGGTCACTCTTAGTGATAGAGCAACAGGTTGTTTGGTGAACATCCAGTCAATTAGATATTTCCCTCTTGTTGGCTCCCTCACCATTTTGCCGTGGATCCAATCTAGAAGCTATGTCCTTTCAGACTCAGTCAGCTCAGTTACTAGTGATGCTACTCCTGATGATGGACATTGACATTCCTCGCACAGAGTACATTCTACGCCCTTGCCACTCTTCCTCCAAGTGGTGTTTAGCATTAAGTACTATTCATCTACCAAGAGGGGTGCAGTAAATTGGTGGTAATCAGCAGTTGTTTCCTTGCCCATATTTTATCTTATGCCATTAGTTTTCATGGGGTCTAGAGTCAATGCTGAGTACTTCCAGAGTAACTCTGACCTGACTGTACACCACTGTGCTGCCACATTTGATGCATCTACCTTCTAGTGGTAGGGAACACATCCAGGGACGGTGGAGGTGTTGTCTATGACATAGTCTGTAAGGTATGATTCGATGAGTATGACTATGTCAGGCTGCTGCTTGACTAGCCTGTGAGACGGCATTGCAGGTGTACCTACAGAACATGGACTGCAGTGGTTCAAGAAAACAACTCACCTTCACCTTCTCAAGGCCACCAGGCTGGGCAATAAAGAGGAAAATAAAGAGGAAACAAAAACCGAAGCTGAAGAAGGGTCACTGGACCCAAAATGTTAACTCTGATTTCTCTTCACAGATGCTGCCAAACCTGCTGAGCTTTTCCAGCAACTTCTATTTTTGTTTCTGATTTACAGCATCCGCAGTTCTTTTGGTTTTCATGGTTAAAGAGGACTTTGCAGGGTCGACGAGGTGTTGCTGGTTTTATTTCTGGTGCCTAGGCTGATGCTAGATGGTATATCGGTTTCATTCCTTTCTATAGGCTTTGTGGCTGTTTGGTACAGCTGAGTGGCTTGCTGGACTATTTCAGAGTACAGTTATATGTCAACCACATTGCTGTAGTTCTGGAGTCATCCACAACCAGTTAGGGATGACAGATTATCTTTCTTAAAGGACATTAGTTAACCAGGTGGGTTTTAATGACAATTAACGATGGTTTCATGGTCACTATTCGACTAGCTTTTAATTTCAGATTTATTAATTCATTTAAATTCTAGAATGTTATTCAATTCTAAATATATCAATTAAAATAGAATCTGCTACAATATTGTCTTTGTAACTCAGTATTTATAATCATTTAAAAGTGACAGCAAACTGATGAGATTAAATAATTCACAACACTTGGTGCACAACAGGCCCTTGTACTAATACTCTTCCCAGCAATTAGGAATGTGCTGTGCAGAGCACAAACAGGCCACACACAAATAACATTCTGTATAAAATGCCTGGTTTCTCATTTGTAGGTCTTTTTAAAAGGCATTACACAGTCCAATAAGCCAGCTGCCTATATCAAGGTGTAGAGCTGGATGAACACAGCAGGCCAAGCAGCATCATAGGAGCAGGAAGGCTGACATTTCGGGCCTAGACCCTTCATCAGATGAAACTGGAGTTAAAGGGAAAATTGGATATTAGTCAACTAATAGAGGATGCTTTGGTTCCCACTAATTTTGTTCAATGTTTTACTTTTGTAAGGATGAACGTGAAGCAAGAGAAAGGGTGAAACGAGAACAGGATGAGGCGTACAGAGTTTCTCTGGAAGCAGATCGAGCTAAGGTTTGTTCATGCTTGTTTATTATCCATTTTAATGTATCTGGTAGGGCATCATTACATTTAAGATCTTCATCTTTTAAAAAATAATGTCGGGTTGATGTCAAGGATGCACCTGCAAAAATGTGTCTTAGTATTTTTATCAACAGAAAATTACGCAATCATTCAGACTGACCAGGGAAAGATCTTGTCAAAATTGTCTCTTTTTCAACTCATTTCCCTCTTATCAAAGTTGGTTTGGTATGTCTTTTTCTATAAGTTATTTTAGAACAAGTTCTGAAATTATCAAAGTTTGTTTTCAAAAATGTAGTTTCTGTCATTGACATTTCTTTGGATGTGAGCAACACTGATATTGCCAACATTTAAGAACGAGTGATAGATAGTCATCACATTGACATTGCAAGAAGAAATTTTTTTAAACACATCAGTGGTTGAAAGATTACTCCAGTATTTTCAAAATTTTTGTAAATAAAATTGCTGGTTTTTGGACTCAAAGAGCTCTTTTTATGGAGCAGAAAGATTCTGTGGAGAACTGAAAATGAAGGCTGGAACACAATTCCCAGATTCCCAACCTCGTTCCTGGGTTTTCTGGTTTTCACCAGAGCTGCTTTAAATGTGGCCTGAAAAGATAATCCTAACTGTCTGCAATTTTTGTGTTGTTGGGCTGGCTTTGAATGGATTTGTGGTTTGCAGCACCTCAGGGATGTCATGAACCATAGTCCAGATGGGGAATCATCTCAAAAAGTAAGTTCAAACGGTCTTGCCCATGTCTTATTATTATATTGAATTCCACTAAATTCCAATTCCCCTCCTATCTCCATGACAAACTATGGCCCATCCATGCCCATTCACCCACTGTATTGAACCAATTAACCTCATAGCAATGATAGGGCATGTTTTTATTTTTAAATATCTTCAAAACAAATTCATCCGCAACTTTTCAATTTCTTAAAATACTCTTCTCACTGTAGATTAATAAATGTGTTTATCATCCAAACCATGTAAAACATCTTTCGTGTAAGCTTCAGTAAGGTCTCCTCTCATTCTTTTACTCAGTTTCTTCTCGTACCCAGTGAACCTTCACTGGACTGCCTCCAATGTCAGTATATCTTTCTTTCCTTAGGTAAGGAGTCCAAAACTGTTTACACTATTCCAGCTATGGTCTGACTAATGGCTTGTTTCGTTTCGCAAAACTTCCCTACTTTTATACTCCAGTCCCTTTGAAATAAAAGCCAACATTCCATTTGCTTTCCCTATTACCTGCTGAAGCTGGTTGCTAACTTTTTTTATATTCAGTCTTGGGACACGGGCATCGCTGGCTGGGCCAACATTTATTACCCATCTCTAGTTGCTCTTGAGAAGATGGCAGTGAGCTGTCTTGAACTACTGCAGTCCACATCATGTAAGTGGACCCGCAATAGCATTAGAATTTTAGAATTAGATTTTGCTTACAGATGTACTGAAGTATAGGAATATGTGAGTACAGTGAAATGGTGTACAAAGTCACCATCCTTTAGCACCATCTTGGTTACAAAACCAGAATATGTATAAAAAAAGCAGAAATGAAAGAAAACTGAAAGGTAAGAAAAGGGAAGGAATTCCAAGGTTTTCACTCAGTGACACTGAAGGAATGGTGTTATATTTCTCAGTCAGAATGGTGAGGGCTTGGAGAACTTGCAGGTAGTAATGTTTCCACGTATCAGCTCCCTGTGTGCTTCTAAATGGATTAGTGGTCGTGAATTTGGAAGATGCTGTTTCAGAATTTTAGTGAATTTCTGCAGTGCTGATGATGGTACACATTTCTACAACTGAGTATCAGTGGTGGAGAGTGTATTTTGTACTGGATGGTGTCAGAACAGTCTGATAAAGGGTCAGTAGACTCGAAATGTTAACTCGGTTTTTCTCTCCCCAAATGCTGCTGGATGTGCTGATTTTCTCCAGTCGTTGACTGCTTTTGTTTCAAATCCCAGCATCTGCAGTTTTATTTACTATAATGATATTTAATTTTTATGAACTGAAAAGGAAAAACTCACCAGTATCAACCTAATAGATAACCTGTTACTTTTAAGAAAAGAGCAAAGAGAAGCACTGGACATCTAAACAAAAATTGACTTTATTCTTACTTTAAAGATTAGATATATTCACTAGTCCTTTGCACCAATCTGTTTAAGATGTCGCTGTGCTATGATTCTCATTGTGGGTAGGCCTCTCAATCCATATCTTTTATCCTCTTTCAATCACCTCTTGCTCTTTTGGTATTAGAAATGTCTGCATATTAAGTAAATTTTAAATTTAGTTTAATTTAAAATAAAATTCAAAATCAGAGGTTTACTAGTCTAAAACTGGAATAGAAAGTTTGTCTTGTGAGGAAAGGTTGGTCAGACTGAGCTTGTATCCCCTGGAGTTTAAAGGACTAAGAGGTGACTGGATTAAAAAATATAAGGTCATGAAAGGTCTTGATAGGGTAGATATGGTGAGGATGCTTCCTGTTATGGGAGATTCTAGAACTAGGGGTCTCTGTTTAAAAATGAAGAGTCATCTATTTTGAGACAGAGATGAGGTGAAATTCTTTCTCGTAGAAGGCGATTAATCTTTGGAACTGTTTCTGAAAAGGCAGTTGAAGAAGAGAGTCTTTGAATGCTTTTAAGGCAGAGGTGGAATGGATTCTTGGTGTGCAAAGGGGTGAAAAGTTATCAGGGTAGTCAGGAATATGGATTTGAACTTACAATCAGATCATTCGTGATCTTTTAAAGGTGGAGCAGGCTCGAGAAGCTGAATGGCCTACTTCTGCCCCTTGTTCATATGTTGTATGAATACTTGTGCCTTTGTGTCTATTAATCTGAAATAGAAGTTGAAATGATAAAATGATATTCTTGTTAAGTACTACATTTTTAAAGTGATATCTTAAATTGCTTTTAATTTCATGTGTTCAGATTCCAAATCTATTTTCTTTTACAAATCAGAGGGAAGCACAAGAAAGAGAAATAGCAGAACAGGTACGCCAAGAGCAGATTAAAAAAGAACAAGAAGAAGAGCGTGAGGTAAGGCTGCATCATTTAATCATATTTGCTCCTTGAACTATATGTAAACTTTCCTCAGGAGGTCTTGCCATTAATGATGTTTCAAAAACTTAATTATAAAGAAGTATCGTTCACCTTAATAAAGTTTTTTTTAAAAATTTCTTTCTATGTTTAAAATTGTTTGCTTTAACAATTAGTGCCCTTGTCACCATCAGAAGAAGCTGTTTTGGCGAAGTATATAAGGGAGGGAACTGAATTAACATGGATTAAAAGTTGCTTCTCTATCCACTTTACAGCACCTTTAACATGATGAAACATCCCAAAGCACTTCACAAAGCAATACAAGACAAAGTATGAGACTGAACTACATAAGATATTAGGTCAGATAGCTTGAGCAATCTTTACATTGCTTTAAGAAGTTTCTTAAATAAGGGAAACAAGTTAAACAAGTGTTGGGAATAAATTGCAGAGTTTGGTTCCTGAGCAATAAAAGCAAGACCACCAATGATGGAACAACTATAACTGGGAATGTGCAATAAGTCAGAATTAGAAAAGTAGAGATGTCTCAGCTGTAGGGTCCGAGGAGTTTGCAGGATAGGAAGGACAAGGTCATGGAATGATTCAGAAATAAGAACGGACATGGCTGGTAATGGTGATCTTAGGACACATGGCAGGTTAAAAAACAGGTATCAGATTTTAGATGACCTCAAGTTTATGGAGGATAGAATGTAAAAGATCAGTCAGGAATTTATTTGGAATAGTCAAATCTAAATGAAATCATTGCACAGATGTTTCAGAAGGAAATGAGCTGATTCGGGAGTGAAGTTATGCAATATTGCAGAAGTGGATATAAGCAACATTAGTTATGGTGCGAACATCAACGCTCTCAACCAGTACAAATCTTCGTTTTCAACTTGTATTGATATTCATGAAAATTGTCCTGATAAGTGCAACATGAAAAGTATGGACAAAAGGTGCACTTTTTCAGCAAGTCAGTCAAGTTCCCCACTGACAAATGACTGTTTCTTTGCTTGCATTCTGAAGGCAGATATCCAGCCATTCAAACTTCATCAAGCGCACCTTTTGTTCCAGTAAAATAATGAATTGTTCACACTGGAACATCTTTTGTTTCTCTGCTTTTCCCATTATCATTCACTTTGGCTTTTGTACCATGAAATATTTTCTTGTGTAATTTCTTCTGCCTTCCGCTTTCATTGTTCTTTCCTTCCTCAACTCCTTTTCGTTTGCTCAGTTCGGTTTTCTCAGTTCTTGTGCAAGGTTATCAACCTGAAATATTAATTATCTCCACACATGCCTCCTGGCCTACTAAGCATTTCCAGAATTTTCTGTTGTTTTACTTGTGTGTATATATTATATATATAAAATATATCTTATGTGTCACCAAGGATGGGTATTTTCATGCAGCAGTTCAGGAGAAAAAATGGATGGTTAACTGGGAATGTTGTGCTGTTCGTAAAACATAGAAATGGAGAGGCTCTTTGGCCCATCAAGTCTGGACCGTTAAAGTGTACTACTACCAACATTAACCCACTTTCCATACCTTACAATATCCTTTTATTGTCACGTGTACTCCATTGTAGGAGTACAGTGAAAAGCTTTTACAATGTCTGCTTTCTTATGGTGACATCTTAGGTACAAGTGGCTCGGTACTATTCTTGGATACAGCAGAGGAATAAAAGTAGTTGCGTTACTTGCAGAATTAAAAAGTAAGTTTAAAAATAGGACATCATTAAAAGGTTGACATTACAGTAAGGTAGGAAATTTCAAATAGACATTACCGTGTAGCAGCTCAGCTCAGGGCCTCTGCATGTGGTGTGACTGCTGCGCAATACCCCAGTCCAGCAGCCATCCTCAGTCTGCTCCAAGCCCCAGACCGCTCCGTACCAGCACTCAGCTGCTTCAATGTAGGTGCCAGGGTGGTGACCATGTGCTGCCCAGGACTCACTGCCTGCGTGATGCTTAGGGGCTGCTTCCTTGTGCTGCTGTAAGGCTTGTAGCCCATGCGCTGCTCCAGAGCTCATTGCCCGTGCTGTTCCGGGGCTCGTAGTCCACGTGCTGTACCAGGGCTCGCTGCTCCGGGGACTTGCTGCCAGTGCCTGCCGCTGCACCAGGATTTGCCTCTGGTGCTAAGGGGAGAGAAGAAGAGAAAAAGAGAGAATAAAAATTAAAAGGAAAGAAAAAGAACAGGCGGAACAGAGGAGCTCCGGCAGGAGTGTCCTACTCTGCCACCATCTTGCAACTATGGCCCACACTATGCTGAAAGCCTTGAATGTTATGACACTTCAATTGTTCTTCCAAGTACTTTTAAATGGTTGTGATGTGTGCCACCTCAGCTACTCTCCTAGCCAGTGCATGCCAGACCCCTA